TATACTACTTTACCTTTCCTTTTCTACACTCTTCCTAATCCGCCTTTCTATTCTTAAATTTTGATATTTGTATTTGCCATAGCTCCTTTCTATTTGATATATAATTCATGTAAATAGCAGTATTAATAATATTGTTTTTCGTTAGTTAAAGTAGTCTTTTTAATTATAATAATAACAATAACAATGTGCTATAAAAAGTTTTTATTATAGGCTGGAAGGAAGAGTGCTAAAATTTAATTTTGAGAAAGAAGACATGCATTCCTCGGAGAATGACTGCGAAATTCTCGATTTCGCGAAGGAAATGAGGTAGCTAAGAGCGGTTTGCTCTACACAACTTTTGCCTAAAACTGTTGCATGCAACCTGTTCACAACCGGAGTTGTACTGTGTAAATCAAAACACACACAACTCTCTCTCTTACAACATTGTAGGCAAATTATATGCTTGATTTACACAGTATAACCCAAGTTGTACTGATAATTTGCTGTGTGTAATATACTCAGGTGAATAAGATGCTTGTGTGATGTTACTCTGAGTGTATATCCACACCGGGCAGACTTGAAAAATATGCCTGGCCACAGTGGGAATCGAACCTACGACCTTTGGAATACTAGCCCAATGCTCTGCCAACTGAGCCTATCGCATATTCGAACCGTTCTGACCGCGTAGCTCAGTTGGCAGAGCATTGGGCTAGTATTTCAAAGGTCGTATAGCTTCGAATCCCACCGTGGCCATATTTTTCAAGTCTGCCCGGTGTGGATATACACTCCGAGTAACATCATGTACACAAGCACCAAGTTGTATAAGTTCAAGGAAGTCGTGAACACAGACCACACGGGCCATGGCACCCAGCCATTGGTTGATAAAAATAGTTAAAATTGATTTTAATCAGTCTTACAATGTCATTTATTCTAGGGTATAATTGTGGCTTGGGGAAGCCTTCTGTCTCCATTGTGGCAAAAAGTGGTAAAAAAAAAGAACTCATTTGTAACATAATAAAGAAAGTTCCAGTCCCCGGCTCCCAATCAAGATCGGTGGAGAGAGGTAGTGGCAAAATTGCTCCTCGTTTTTGCAATGGTAAATGCAAGATAAAAATAGTTAAAATTGATTTTAATCTTACAATGTCATCAACCCATGTGTCACCGTTGGAAAAAGGAGGCTGCCTTGGATGGAGATCAAAAGAAGCTTCATGAAAATCTCGGTGTACAATGGAGCGTATGTATCTTAGGCCTACCGGGCAAAGCTAGTTACTCGGCAAGAGCGGTTTATTGGTGGGAAAAAGAATTAATTTGTAACATCCTTAAGAACGTTCCACAGTCCTCGGCTACCAATCAATCAACATCGGTGGAGGTATGCAGTGGCAAAGCTCGTCTTTGGTTATGCATGTTCGCATTGCTTGTTCAAGCTTTTACGGGTAAAGCTTGCGTACCGCATGGATCGGTTATCATCTTGTTAAAATATTGTTACCGTCAGGTAACCGACTTGCTACACAAGTTGCTACACGAGCTTATTGTCATTAGCTTGTTAACAACTGGATATGCACAGAAGACATGTATCAGTTTTTTTGACAGCTATAAAAAGACAGCAGTAAAATAAATGCAATAATATGCTTTTGAGGTTTTTATTATTGGCTGGAAGGACGAGTGCTGCGTTTCAACTTGACAAAGAACATTCTTCGGAGAATGAGTGCCAAATTGTCGATTTCGCAAAAGCGAACGAAGTAGCTAATTATAAGCGAGACTATTGGCCTCATCAACCTTTGTACACGAAGATACCAGCTTGTCCCAGACTTATCAACATTTTAAAGAAATATTTTTGTACACCAATAGGTCATCGTCAGCACTTTATATAACATAATTTGTCGTCCATTTTGTTCCTAGGTCCATGCTATTGCAAACTACTCGTCGGGGATTGTGGAACTAATCACCCAAATGTAAAAACAAAGTCGAACACAAAGTTCGTCACTACAGCAGCTGGGGTAAAGCTCGCCCATAAGGTCCTAGATGATTGCTTTACCAACTGGATCAATTATTGTAAGTTTTTCATATTGCTTTAAAAACTGGTTCTCTCACCACACGGCAATTGTTTATAAACCGGGGCGAGACACCATTTGGCGTTGACAGTTCGATACAACCGTATATTGGAGTGTTGTCTCCTATCCCCAAGGTAAATTGTTGCACGGTATCTGAAGAACGAGTACGAACGTAGGTAATGTGAAGACGTTTTTCCGCGGTGTTCCATATTCATCTATTTATCCCGAGACTGTTGGGATACCATGGATATAAAATGCTTATAATCCTATCCTTATGCTACAATGTCGGAACTGGTTCCAATTGAAAGCGTGGTTTACCAATGCTTTTCGTTTGAAAAGGATTTATTTGGAGGGGGAGTTGGTATAATACACTGCCTTCCAATTCTTATGCTTTTATCACGATTGTTTTTATAGCTCCACATCGAAAACAACCGATTGTTAGATCATGCCAACCACAAGGTTTTCATTGCTGATCTTGCTTTACTGGATTATAGCACAACATTTTTTTGTCGGAAAAGAAAACCATAGATTGCCGATGAATTACGACCAGTGTGAACCAGACTTTAGGCACCTCTGGGAGTTAGCATGGAGGTCAGTACTTGGTTTAGACATAACTAAACATATTCTTCTAACAAATATGAAATGTTATAACCAGCAATACTTTATATAAATATGTTACTGGTAAAGACAAACCGGAGGAAGATTTCCGACCAACTATTATACCAACAACCATCTCCGTCGAGGACATGCTGAGATTGGACATGCTAGAAATGGCTATAAACGAGATGGTCAGATGTATGGTTGTTATTCGTTCATAGCTTAAAGAGAGATTTCTGTGACATTTTGTGTTTGATTCACGCATGACGGGTTTTAACCCTTAGATTCGAGTAAATTGACTAAAATGATATCAGTTAAAAAACCAACCGTATATGACACGAATTTCTTCCGTCTTTCACCTATGAAGTTGTTAAAACATCGTCAGTAGCCTTTTTATGCTTTGCATTCGCACGAGTGTGTTCGTGATTTTAATTAAGAAAATCTGTGATTTGCCGTTGTAACCAGACGAACGACGACTACGTAATTATTTTTTTCTTTTCATCGACTCATTGAATTGGTTACCGTTGATTGCTCGGCGACTCTTTCCCACGTCAAAGCAAAGACCAACACCAAGTTTGTTACATCGGCAGCCGCAGCCAAACTAAGTACAAAGTGTTAGATGATTCCTTTATTAATTGGATAAATTATTTAGGTTTTGCATATTTTTTTCAAAAACTGGTGTAGTTTGTTGTATTATTATTATTATTATTATTATTATTATTATTATTATTTCTCTCACCACACGCCAATTGTTTATAAACCGGGGTGAGACACCATTTGGTGTTGACAGTTCGATACAACCGTATATTGCGGTGTTGTCTCCTATCCCAAAGGTAAATTGTTGCACGGTATCTGAAGACGTTTTTCCGTGTTGTTCCATTCATTTATTTATCCCCAAGACTGTTGGGATACCATGGATGTAGAATGCTTTTACTCAAGTATCTCATGCACTCTACTATATAATAAATTGTTATACTATTTTTATTTCATTTTTTATTTCTTACTGTTATTAACAGTATATCACTGTTAACAGTGAAAGCGATGGAGCATTATTTAAAAAAAAGCGACGTCGCTGTGTCGCATTATAAAAATGTAATTCGCAGCGACACCCAACTCTTTCCACATTCTGCAGTATATATTGCTATGGAAGGTAATTCAATCACACGAAAAGGTGAATGGACTATATTAAACGAGAAACAACTATGCGATTTCCAATTGAAATTTGTTGGGAAATGTTTGCCAATGAATCAGCAAGCCCGCGGCACTGCACAAGGTTATTGGATGGTGGAATTCGAAGGAAATGTTTTTGAACAGCGAGAAAGAAGGTATGCTAAAGTTTTATTTCGAGATTATTCATAGTCTTAAAAACTACAAACTATCAAGTACACAATCATCAGTCATGCCCTGAAGAGTTCAAGTAGCGCTTGTGTAGATGTATTTACCACGTGTAAAACTTGCAAGTTCTAAATTGTGAACAAAGTCAACAAACGGCTAAGTTCGTAAAATGTTTCAAGAATGTGACTACTGTATATGTTTGCGAAATAGCATAACTTGAATCATCATTTTATTTATCAACTATTTAGTACACAATCACATTGTCCTCAAGAGTTTAAATAGCTTTTCTCTTCAAAGTTGAGGAAGCGCCTGAACTGTATTTGTCACATGAAAAAATTTGTAAGTTAAATTTACCGCTAACAGACGGCTTTCTTTCTAGCTAGATCTCCGCGAGATCGTCATTGAAAAGTATGGATCACACAAAACTCGGAAAGCAAAAATCGTAACTATAGGCATAGCTCACCAATGCTTTTATGTTCAAAAAGGAGTAATTGGGCGGAAGAATTGGACTAATACACTGCCTCCATAATTCATATTTTTTTATCACGATTTTTTTATACATATGTATACTGTAGCTCCACATCGGAAACAACAAATTGCTCGATCCTGCTAATCACCGGGTTTTCCATGAATTTGCTCTATTATGGCACTAAGTCTACAACGAATATAGGTAACCAGCCGATTCCCAACAGAAGTCAAAGGCGAGTCGACGAAATTGGGCGACAATCTTATGTGATTTCACACTAAAACTTGTAGGCAAATGCTTGCCATTTGCCTGAGAGAGAAATCGAAGCAAATATCTTCGATCAGCGTGAAATAAGGTATTTTAAAGTTTTATATTTCATGGAATATTCATCGTCTTCAACAACTACATCAACTATTTAGTATACAATCGCATGTCCTCAAGAGTTCAAATAGCTTTTCTCCTCAAAGTTCAGACGAACTAACGAAGGATGTCATGCCCAGATAAATTACGTAACATTTGTGTTGGGTAACCAGCCGATTCCCAACAGAAACAATTACTGTTGGGGTTTCAGTATGGAAATACCCAAATTGCAAGATGAACTTAGGGTAAATTTTCCAACTAAATACACGCATCATTGTGCTATATATGTTTTTATTTCTACGTGTTATTATATGTCAATATATTGATTTGTGTTATTGTTATTGTTATATAACGTTATAATATACCTATATGCGTAGGCTATATCGTGAAATTAACTCCAAGTATTTCTTATTTTTTTTACCATGGTAACCTTAAGGAAGGAAATTAAATTCCCTAGGGCATGGCAATCTGTGACTTTAAGATACTAATTTATCATGCCAATCTCGTGCCCTATAAAAATAGTTAAAATTTATTTTAATCAGTCTTACAATGTCATTTATTCTAGGGTATAATCGTGGCTTGGGAAGCATTTTGTCCCAATTATGGCCAGAAAAGAAAACAGCTAATTTACGACATCATTAAGAAAGTTCCACAGTCGTCGGCTCCCAATCAAGATCGGTGGAGAGAGGCAGTGGCAAAGTTGGTCCCCGTCAACACTTTATATGACATAATTTGTCGTCCATTTTGTTCCTAGGTCCATGCTATTGCGAACTACTCGTCGGGGATTGTGGAACTAATCACCCTTCTCGTCGCCAAAAAACAAACTACACGAATTCCCGTTTTGGATCGTCTACAAATGGCAGTTTTGGATCGTCTACAAATGGTAAGGATTGGAGTCGGCATTCATCTAACAGCAAATCCCGAACAGATCAGTGATCCCATACCTATTACGAATCTCATGACCGAACTTTGAAACTGCAGGAAAAATTCGTATCGCTGTCACTGTCACACAAATGTCTATAACCAATGGACTCCGGTTGAGAGAAGAGATCTGTCTACTTCGACTCCATCTTCTGGTCCGTGTGATCTGCCGGAGGACAAAGAAGATCAAGAACTCACAAAAATGAACTTCCAAGAATATTTCTTGAGGACATTTTCTAAACCTGATCAACTGCCATGTAGAGACCATACAG